AGGACCCGAACACTCAAATGGCAGTTAACAGCTGTTTATATCTTCAGTTCCAGAGAATCTGACACCCTTTTCTGGCTTCCATGTGCATCAGGCACCCATATGATGCTCAGACCCTACATGCATACATTCTATCCACACACATAAATAAACAAGTAAACAAATAAATAAAACCTTAAAAAGTCATGTCGCTGAGATGGTTCAGTGGATGGAGAAGCCCACAGTTGAGCCTTACTACCTCAATTTGATTGTAGGGACCTACAGAGAGGAAGGAGAGAATTAATAAACCTCAAATTGTTCATTGACTAACACAAGCAAGTGCCTGTACCCTGCCCCTTACTCTAAATGATAACAAGATACACAGAGTGAATACGCTTACTCTAAAGAAGGAATGTAAGCAGTTGTTTGAGATTATAAGACTTTATTACACAGGACTTTATTATTATAGGACTTTATTACACAGAAGCAGTCAATACTGAGCAATCTTGGGATCCAGAAATACAAGTCCAAGCAAGCTGTTGTGCTGTTAATGTTGCTGCCCTCCCTCACCCAGACCAGAACCTTAAATCATGAGCAGTGCTCTTTCCACTGGGTGTACATTTTATCCAGGTTCTTTCTCAAATGAGAAAGATTACAGTCGGGACAATTTGAATCCTATTTGCCCTTCCTGATTGATTCTGTTTTCTGATAGAAGATAAATGAGATAATGATGACTTGTTCAAGTTACTCAGTTATGTAGTAACTGATACGGAATTAAAATCAAGGTTGCTTGGCTTTTGAATTGTGGTTTTATTATTTGTACCACAACTTTGATTATTAGCTTTTCTATTTTAATTTCTTTTTCAATAATCTTCTCTAAAGGAAATATGCACAACAGGGATTATTTAGGAACATTTTTTTAAAGTAAGGAAGTAGCATTCTATAAATTTTATTTCGAAATAAAGTAATATGTTATTGGATATTTTCATAATGTTTTATTACTTAGGATGATTGGCCCAAGAAAAGACTGCCTACAATTTCCTGGAGTTTTTGGTTTAATACATTAAGTATGAATATTTATACCTGTACAATTGGGAAAGTTTAATTCAAACTTAAATTTGAGTTTTAAAGGAACAGAAATTTTCCACAAACATTAAATTTTATCATTTGTATAGTGTTCTGCTTGACACAACATAGTGTTGTCTGGAAAGACTGGACCTCAGGTGAGAAAATACCTCCATTAGACTGGCCTATAGGATGATAGATGTGGGAGGGCACAGACCAGTGTGAATGCTACCACCAATGGCAAGAGGTTCTAGGTTATATGAAAGCAAGCTGAGTAAGCCATGTAGAAAATTCAGTATGGAGCACTCCTCCAAGATCTATGCTTTAGTTCCTGCCTCCAGGTTCCTGCTTTGAACTCCCCCCAAATTTCCCTCAGTGACATGATTATTGGGTCATACAAGCCAAATAAGCTTTTCCTTTCCAAGTTGCTTTTGGTAATGATCTTTATCACAGCAATAGAGAGCAAGATAAGACATATACATACATACATCTAATTTATATTTTTATCTATCCATCTATCTATTTTTCTATCTACTATATAGGTTTACCATGTTTGCCATTATAAAATTAGCTTCAAGCAACAGTTGTTCTTATTTATATTCAATTTTTAATATAATAAACACCTACACTAGTCATCTCACTGAAACAAGTTATCTTGTTTGGTGTGAAAACACAGATCCATTCAATTGGAATGGTTCATGTTAATTGTGCAGCCACTCAATCTTTGAAATTACTACTGTAACTTCAGTTTTGTTCCCTACCCAATAATAAATTGGACATTTTATTTTATGTAATTTGAAATTTGCTGGTTAGGGAGTATGGTCATAATAGAGTTCTTAAATCTTACTATTGGAACAATGGCATTATGTTTGTAATCTTTTATGTCCTGTCCCCTGCCAGCCCACCATGATACTCTAGGAAAAGCCTAGAGTAGGATCACTAATCATTCTGGAAAGACAATTTGATGGATATAAAAACATATTTAATATGCATTTAATTGTGAAAATTTCAAATATACTTTAGGAGCTTTATTATAGTCCTCGATATTAGATAATAAATAGGGCCAAAGATTGTTACTTCTGTACTTCAGCAAACAAGTACTTCTTATATGAAAAGAGAATTGATTAAGGCCATCAATTATCTCAAATTTAAAACATGTATTTAGAAATTATTTGATGCAGAACAAGCTAGTAAGTTCAGATCTTATTTTCAAGGAGGTTTTTTTATTTAATTGGGATATGTATTAATTTATTAGAAATAATTAAGAAGTTAAATAACTTTGAACCCACATAATCATTTTCATCTCCTTAAAATGGAAGAAACATTAATTTGTCTGCCTAGTGAGTGTTGGATAGTAATTAAGGGGCTTTGTGGGGACAAAGTCACATTAGAAGTCACTTTGCCTATTTTCGGTAATTTTCCTGAAGAGAATTTCTTCTGTATTTTTGTAACAGATAAACTCACCTAGACACGAGCACACATTGGCATAAAGTGACTTGATGTTTGGCAAGGGTAGGAAGTCTAAATCTTAAACCTACTCCTACTAACCCACTAGACAAGTGCCTGGTTAAACAGATGTGCTTTGGGCAGGGCTCAAAACATGTCACCTACACCATTATTGATGAATGATGGACCAAAATAGACTACAACACATTATTGTGCTGCTTAGCATGATTTGTTCAGTGAATAGCTATTGCTTATTTTTGTTATTATTTATTGCTGGAAATAAATTCTTTTCTTATGAATGAATATGTGAAAATTCGAAGGCAGCAGATGGAATGTCAGGGGCCTGGAAAACCCCCAGACAGGAAAGTAATTCTCAGTCAAGCAGGGTGGAAAGCAGGTGTGTGAAATAACATGTGGCTTTATAAGTGCAGTAAGATTTGAGGGGGGTGCTGGAGTAACCGAGAGATTGGGTTGATCCTGGAATTCATCTACCGGGGAGGAGGAGACAAATGAGAATTCCTACTACTGTTTTCAGGCCCCTGCAGCAAATCGACCTTCTCAGTAGTCACAAGGCTGGATCTGTGGCAATACATGAAGCTCTAGTTAGTGTTTGTGTAAATACCACACTTCTTTGAGGGGGGGGTATGGCACCTGAAGGGTTTGGAAATGTGAGAGATAGGAGGATATCTGAAGAGAGTTCAGTTTCTGGTTGATTAGTGTTACTTCTTTTCTGCTTGTGTGTATGAAAAAGCACTAAGGAGAAGGTAAGAGCCATAGTTAGACAGTTCTATACTTGGAAGATCACATGAGACAGAGTTTGATGATCTGATACTGACATATTAAAAGGACCTTTCATGGCATTTGCTTTCTATGCATTTTGGTGATCATCTCTTTAGTGTTAGGGTAATTAGCACACCATCAAACACTTAGTCCAATTGACCTGTGAATATGGGCCTATGTCCTTTACATGATCCATCATTATTTTTTGATTGAATCATTAATGTAGTGACTAGTAGCATATCCCTTTCTTAGGTTATGACAATGAATGATTTAATGGAATATACACAAAAAAATCCAACCAAAAGGATTCTCTTTCCTACACAATTTATTTAATCTTTTGTTAACTTTTGCTTACCACCTGCTTTCATAATACTGCTAAAAACTTCTCTGAAACATGCATAGACAATGCCAGTGATATGTAAGCTCAATGCAGTATATTGACATCTTGATTTTGAGTAATTTTCTAATATTGGAGCTACCTCTTCAGTCCACGCAATGTATGTTGAATTCTTCTGTAAGGTTATTATGTTTGTATAAACAGAAATTTAACATTGGTTAATACTGCAACCAATTGCCTGCAATGCAACCTTTACATAATTTTATTTCCTGAGTGAAACCCAAATATATTTTTCATTTCCCTTTTCCATTTTATTAATTTTGTCCTTCGGTTATTTCTTATGTATATATAAAATGCATTCTGATTACTCTATGTGAACTTTTTTATTTCAACCCCATTCCTATTCTCCCCTCCTTCTCCTTCCCAAGCTCCTTCCTGGATTCCAGACTTCTGGTTTTATGTGGGATCCATTTAGTTTAATCAGGGACATCTGTGGGACCACTGCATGGAACTCTCCACCAGAGTCTCAAGGTCATCTGGGGGTTCACAACTGAAGACAATGACTCCCCATCTATCTAAATCTGTCTGCAATGAATGCTTCATCAATGAAGGACATAGCCCCCGATGACACCCTCCTCCATCCATGCTGGCTGTCAGGTCCATTCTTGTACAGACATAGAGAAGACACCTACAGTTCTGAGTTCATGGTTGCAATGTCTGTATCTTGTCCAGTAGACGGCATTTCTCAGCCTCCCTCTCTCTTCTGCCTCTTGCTTTCTTTCTGCCCCCTTCTCACAATATTGCCTTACACGTAGAGTTGATGATACAAATATCCCATTTAAGGTTAGTTCCATGCAACTATCTTATATTTGCCTTCCAGGAATACATAGGCTGAATTTCTGAATAAGTAGGTGAGAGAATTCATGTATCACTATTTAACATTTCTATCATTCTCCCAGATGGAGTCTCTATAAAAAAAATTATAAATCTTTTGCTTTAGTAAAAGTTTGACTTCTTTTTATTGCAGCAAACTTTTCTGAGATTGTTTTGTTTGATGATGGTTAATTTAATTTAAGTTATCATATATTTTTTTTGTTACATTGTCCTTTGAAATCATTGAAATTACCTAAGTTGCATTGTTGTATCTACATTTCATAAAATGAAAAACTCAGATCAATTTAGATACAGATGGAAAATAAAAGGCTTTTAATATGTACTTTGTTACAATAATATATATGAACATAACTATATAAAGGAGATAAAATAGGAAAACATTAATTTTCATAATATAGTGTAATAGAGATAAAGTCTGTCTTTGTATGAAAATACATATTTTTATATTTATGTTAGTAGTATATTTTAAGGTATAAATTCTTTTCTTTTCTTTTCCTAACAGCAAATGCCAGTCTTCTTGGAGGAGGTGGTGGTAAGTCCTGAATTTGGCTTAACTTTAAATATATTTCTGTTACATTAACCAGAAGATGATTAGTAAGCTTTGCGATACTTACAAACAAGCTACTTTTGCTATAGTTATCAAGTACAAAACTAATGTCCTAGAAAATCATTTATAAGAAATGCTTTGGTTTGAAGAATTATTCTTATGTTCAAAACTTTTTTTAAATTCTTGTCATTTTTGATGTGAAGGACACACATAGGCTATAATCTGTTGACATGAACACAAACATAGCAGATGAGAGCCACTGCTAATAGGAATGCTAAGGTGTCAGTGTGTTTGTAGGCTCTGCCTTCTTTTCTTTTTAAACATAATTGCTTGCTTTTGCTTTTCATGACTTTGTGTCTAGAGATCTTAATATTTCATCTACTTCTTTGGAAAACTACAAGAGAAATTACTTTTGATGCTTTTTGTGTTAGATAAGAGAAGAAAGCAAAAGTCTTCAAAGTAAAAGGAGAGGAAGAGATTCTCATGCTGCAGGATGTTTTATGATAGAACCCAGCAACTATGGTTCTCTTTTTAGGTTGGGAATAAGAATGCTTTTGTAGCTGCAGTGTGTGCAATACGCTAAGGGAGAAAGCACTAAGATAGGGTCCTTTTCTCAGTAGATCCAGATATTCATGGGTTGGCTTAGCCTCTCACTCCTTCCCATTCCCTCTCCCCTTGCTGTTTTGTTCTGGGTTGCCATTTTCATGCAGGCAGCAGGTGGTAGATAGGACTATGTATCACTTCAAGGCTTTTAAAAAATGTACTGGCCTTAATAGAAGTTTCTGGTATAAATTTTATTTAGAGCTAAAAACACTATTGTTCAATTTTAATGTAACTGCTGAATTTGGAATGATTACAAAAAATTGTTTCTAAGTAGAAAGTGTTGCTTATGCTTTCACATGTTAGTGCATGTCCTATAAAAGGATGAGCGAGAGTGGGATTGAAGTTGGTTATTGTGCAAACATCATGAAAGAGCTACTTAATACCCCACACCTTCCCTGAAATGCAACCTGAGTGACACTCCCTCCCTAACGTGTTGTGATGACTTATCAAGACTGTCTGTTATGATATACAATAGTAGGGGATTAATGAGTGTCTAGTTTGTCTTTCTCAAATTGTTTCAGAAAATATAACTCTACAGAACTTTTTTTCATCATCTATTTTACTATACTTTTAGAGACTCAGAAGGGAAATTTTTCCTTAGGGGCTGGAGACTTAGTAATCCTCCTCCATCATCTTGGCCAGGTACAATGTAAGAAGAAAATATTCTTAAGGTAAATTGCTCATAGAAGTGACTTTCTTACAAGACACTGGTATTTTAGGAGACGTGACTAATAGGTAAAGTTTAATTTTAAAGTGGAGTTTACATTAGTATATTTATCGACTTATAGCAACAAATTAGTTAGATGATTCATTTATTGCTTTCAATTATTTCTAAAGAGTGACTCAGCCAATTTTATTAGTTCACATAACTTTAGCTGCTCATAATGGAGAAGAACCCCCAAACAATTGCACTTTAAAGATTAGAGATACATTTGCATTTCACCTGAACTTGTGCTGCAGATAGACTGAATTGGTTGCCTGATAATCCATGGTGTCATCAAGCCTCAAACATCTTTCTGTTTTTCCTTCCAAGCTTTCCATTTCAATACCTCAGGGTTTGTGAAGGCTGCTGATCCTCTAAGCCATCAAAAGTAAAGTGTAGATGAGGATGGATAAGAAAGGCAAAAACTGTAAAAAGGTGTCTTCAGGGATGAGCCAATTTTCTTTTATATTTAAGCAGATTTCTTGTAAGTTTCACATTGTAGTGAATTTGGTAAAATATCCATCCCTGGCATTCCTAGTAGTTTTTGTTTTTAGGAAACAATATGCTCATCAAAAACAGTTATTCTGGTTACTGGAGAGGGAAAGGAGCATAGGTGAGCCTTGAGCTGTGTGTATACACCTGCTATAATGATTACTTTTCTGTCCTCAAATTGCTTTGCTTAAATCCACATGTGCATAACTGGTATGAGGAAAAGTAACTGGCTGTAGTGACTGGCTTTACATTTGGTTTTTTTATGGCTCTTCCAGCCTACCAAAGAAGGTACATTTAAACAATGGTGTGACATTTAGTTGGGTATTTTTCGAAGAAACAGACCGACTCAGTTTTCTGTGCCCCTAATGTATACATTTTATTGTCTTCATCTACATGGCTGTCAAATTTGTCATGATTTACAATTTCTGAATTGTAAATCTAGCAACTCAGTGATCCCATAAAGATAAATTACAAGTATTTAAGATGGCTCTATTTTCCCCTTAAAACAAGTCATCGAGAGATTTAAATTCATTTATATATCTCAAAAAATAAAACTTGATTTGTGGAAGGTTTTATTCAAACATTGAACCTAAGGACCATTCTGAGCTTTCTTTGTACTGAATTTTGACTTTCTGATTCTATGACAAATCTTTGAAATCCTCTTATTGATGTTTATAAATAACAGCTTCTAATTATCCAATAAAGAACAACCATTATGTGTTCTTTTAGATAATCAATTGAGACCCATGAAAATAAAGAAAAGCATCATCTTTGTCACTGCCTGTGTTGAAGGTCCTCTCATTCAGTTCCCTGATATTAGTACAGTCTGTCCATACACAGAAAAAGCAAATGTGCAGAGCAGAAGTACCTTACCATCTTATGGTACCCTTGGGTTATGCTCATATTCACATGTCTTTTCTTGTGTTTGAAGGCCAATCAGTTTTAGAAAACATTGCAATACATACTCAGCCACCTGCAGGAAGGATGTCTTGTATGCATATGGTTCTATGTGCTGGTATTTTGGAACACGTAATACAAAAGAAGTCATCATAGACAGCTTAAATTTTGTGGCAAATTGCAATTAGTAAGAAGAAACAACTAGAATTAAGAAACTAACTTCTCAGTGCAATCAGGACTGTTATATAATAGACAAGAACAGATTTTATAACTGGTGGCTTTAGATGATGTCTATTCCATTTATGCAATCATTAACATAAAGCAGAGCTTGATGATTGGACCAGTTCAAAGAACTGTTTATGGGATTTTCTTCTGTATTTGTCTGCCAAAGCACCTGAAGCATAATATAAGACATTTTGACTGACACTCTCTAACAGTGCAAATTAGTGATTTTATTTTTGTGTGTGTCATGATTTTGTCATTTTAATCATTTTTGCATCTATGACAAAAATCTCCATGTGAAACACTTTTATTTATATTAATATTCTAACTCTGTACATGATTCTTGAGGATTCTATGCCAGGTTATGTTTAAAACCTCTGAGAGTAGGCAAGCATTGCCAAATGAAAACTAAACACTCAGCCTGTGATGAAATTCACAGAAAGCCTCTTACCTAGAATGAAAAGACACATTCTTTGGAACTTACCTATTCCCAAATTCTTTTTTTTTTTTTAATGCCATCTAGGAACAAAATTCAGTGGTCCTAGGCTAGTAGCAGCTTTTTTGAGTTTGCTCACCAGTTTTACCTGTAGAAAATTCCTAATTCTGGTTTGCCACTAATGACCATTTGGGATGTCAAGACAGCTCATGTTAAGTAAATAACAAGCCCATGCCTGAGAGGAGTGAAACCATAATCATTTTCTGTCACATACTGGTTGTGAATTTCCACCCACTCAACATTTATTTCCTCACACAGACACTCATATATGCAAATGTTCATCATCCATTTCCACAACTAACATTTATTGGGTAACTATGTGTGCAGTATTGACTATTGATTAGCCTTTCAATGCAGACTTTCCTATGGCAGAGTTATTAGCATAATTATAATTTCTCACATCCTCCCCAGTGTTCCAAGGACTCCTCTGATGTACATCTTTTGATCTACATTAAATGGACATTTAATGCTTTCTCTAAAAGGCAGGAGAGTTAACCTGAGAAGTGCTTTCTCACACAGTATTTGGGATACTACCCAGAATTATAATCCAAAGAGCAATAGCCTTTAAGTGTGTCATAATAGAGTTAGTCAACTTTCATGGTTTAAGTCTTTACTAAAGTATGTATCACTACTACCACTAGTGTTATTGTGGTTATTATTTGTGTGTGTGTGTGTGTGTGTGTATGTGTGTGTGTGTGTGTGTTTTATGAGATCTAGGTACATGCATGTCAGTACACATGCTCTTCTATCAATTGTGGCTTTTGTGGATGGAACTTGTTGACAGGCTTGCACAGTGAGTGACTTTATTTGTTGAGTCATTTTGTCAGCCCATGGATTGCTTGTTAAACATTTACATGAGGGTAAGTGTCCTGTTATCTTCCTTCCATACTGCTAGTGTGTTATACTATACACATATCACTTAAATTGCTCAAAATCTCTACCTTGGTTCTGTGTTTCCTTGTACATCATACATTCCTACATTGGTTTCTTGTATTTTTTCACCAGTAACCCTCCATGTATGTCTATGCCTCAGGCATGCTGGGAGAAATCTAGGACAATGGCCAATAGCCAGGAAACAAGGCCAGTTTGCAGGGGGTGGGGTATGGTATTGATGCCTGTCCATCAGGGGTGAGTGAAGCGTGGTTGGTAGTGAGTTTGCCAGCTGGTCTGTACTCAGCAGGTAGAATGTCCCAGCCATTGTCCTGGGGGTATAGTGACAGTCTCTCCAGCCTGGGAGAACAGCATGGCAGGAGAAACCAAGAGGGTTTTGCATTTTTGTTTACATTAGGGAACAGAGCTATAAGAAAGGCAGAGCTGTTAAAACATACACATTTAGGTTTAAATTTAGACTACCTTTGGTGGCATAGATCCTAGGCACTGCAGGTAGTGAAGTCTGCTAGAATAGATCACAGGGTCCAGATGTGATGGAGGAAGGAAAGATACAGAGCTCGGGAGCCAGGACAGGTCCCAAAACATTCACCTGCACATGTACCTCAACCTATTTGTGTTTTTCCTCCCTTCCTCTCTTCTTCCCTTCCTCCCTTCTAACTACTGGTTACCTCTTTTGTACCT